GATGTTTGGTATCACACATGCACATCAGGAGCATTGCAAAGACACCAAAGGATTCTGAGTCAGAGGGAAGGATCCAGTGACCCAGGGCAGTGAGCTGAATAAAGCTCTGAAACACTGGGAGCAGGGGTCCCCCAAACCAACAACACTTCTTTGTGCTTGGCTTCCTTTCATGTCTTTCTCCTGAGTTATCGCCCCTCTACTTCTCACATAAGTTGCATTTAAAGTTGTATCAAATGATGATCCATATCTTGTTCCCAAACGACCTGATTAATCAGGAGCTGGTTTGGGGCCCAGAGGACATCAGTGCTGTGCTCCCGGAAGGAAGGAGAAGAGGCGAGTTGAAAACCAGAAGCTTGTGGTGATATTGTGTTCCCCAACATATCATGTACCCTAATATCTGGGGTCAGAAAACAGAACAGTCACTAGACAGACATAGAGGTCAGGAAATGGATTAAACACACCTTTAATCCTAGCATTCTGGAGGCAGGGATCCATCCGGATCTCTGTGAGTTCAAAGCTACACTGGAAATAGCCAGAAATGGTGACACACACCTTTAATCCCAGGAAGTGATGGCAAGAAGCAGAAAGTATATAAGGTGTGAGGAGCAGGAACTAGAGCTCAGCGTTCACCCCAATACCTGGCTCAGGTTTGTTTTTATTAACAAGACCTTTTAAGATTTGTGTTACAGAAGCTTGCTGAACAGACTTGAGAAAGAGAAGGAAGTGACAAAATTCAGATATTCAGAAGCTGGGAAAGAACACTCCTCTTTTTCTTTCCAACCCCAAGCCCTTGCATTCCTGTAGTCTTTACCTTGACCACTGGAAGATTCTGGTTTGGTAAATGGTTTCTACCTTTTAGGAGTAGCTTACACTGGTTTACCTCTTCAGTCCACTTCCTTGAGCTCAGAGACAGTTTAGGATGGAAATGAAAACTGCATGTCATTGAGTGTGTCTAAGGCAATTCAAATAGTCAGAAGAAGGGAACTGGGGCAGACCCGACATAAATTAATATGATGAAAAGAGGAAACTCCCCTATTCTGCTGTTAAGCAGCATTCTGGGCTTGTATAGAAAATCGACTATTAAAGCCTTTCCCATCTGAGCAGCCTGTTTCTTCTCAACTCCATTGTCTTGTTCTCAGAAAAGAAGGCAAGAAAAACCTGAGGAGGCCATTTTGGGGGTGCCTAGAGGTGGGGAGTCCTTGAAAAGGAGGTGTAAAAGGGCTTAAGTCTATTCAGTTCACTCTTTCATTTTCCTCTAAATGGAAGCGTGGTCTTGCTGCCAGTGCCCAGGCCAGAGGAGCTGGCAGAGCAACTCGATTTGAAGCAGCTGAAGCCTTTCACAGTGACAGCTTTTCTCCCAACATGTTCTGGTAGGAGTTTGAGACACAGACAACAAAGGATGGGGAGGGGAGGGATTCCGACACAAGCGGAACAGCCATTCCCCTTGTCTCCATAACAGCGTGTTGGCTAATGGACAAAGGGAACCAATCTACCGTGCGGTGGTGTCCCAGGCCCTGGCCGCCTTGAGTCGTCTTTGGTGAACTCAGAGGCAGACAGCAAGGCTATTATCCCCTGCTCTCCCTCTGTGGGCCAGTGCTCCAAGGTTTAGGAAATGAAATGGGTCTAGCATCAGGGAAAAAAGTCTCTGTAGGGACATGTTAAAGTACTACTGTGTAAAAATTTGTTTCTCAGGGCCATGAGGAGAGGTCATAAAATCTGCCTTTTCATGTCATCTGCACATAGACTGGCACCTAGTGGGTGCTCCTTAAACAAGGATGATGTTTAAACTGACTTGCCCAAAAAATACCAGGTGTCAGGATTTGGAATATGGCCCAACGCCTGAAAACAATAAATTTCACGTCCCAGCTTCTTTGGTATTCTTAACTTGTTTGAAATTCCTTTCCTCTTGAGAGAGCCAAGTGCTATATTGCTGTTTTCTGAGGTAAAGAGAATAAGCAATCAGTTTTGCTTGGCATGGTGGCACACATGTAATTCTAGCACTCTGAAGGTTGAGGCAAGCAGATCATGAGTTCAAAGTCAGCTTAGGCTACAAAGTGAAATCCTATCTAAAAATCTATAAATAAATGATTTGAACTTGTCCTGCCATGTAGCAAGCAAAGGCTAGTAATTCCATGACTATCCTAAAGTCTCAGACCACTAGAGTTATTAACCATAAAATCCCACAATGAGTTTTCACGTTTTTGATAAGCACATTTTTGAGGAGTAGTCTACAGATGAGTGAGGTCACTCATCGGAGCCCCTGAGAGTAATTAGGAAGCTATTTACTGACAGGGACATCAAACGGATTGCTTTGCCAGGTACCAACATGTGTTTATCTATTACGATAAAGAAAAGACCAGCAAATTCACTGCTGAAGGTTATTACTACAACAATACCAAGTAAAATAACCCGGTTCTTCGCATGGCTAGTAAACAGACCTCCTGCAAAGTACAAAAGTGAGTTTTATAGACAAATTAAAAAAAAGTTTTCTGTAATGAAAGAAAAGGGAGTGGCTGAGAGACTGTCCTCCAAATGGGGAGCCCACACACTCTGGAGTCACAGGCAGCTTGATAACTATTCCAGAGCAGTCCTTTGTGAAATCCCTCCGCTGGGGAATAAATGATGTATGAAATGAAGACGCCCCAACTCCGCAGGGAGCACAGACAGAACACTTCCAGCTCTAATATGCGGTTTCTGATGGCTTTTGGCTGTGACCCCTGGGCACAATTTCCATTCAGCTATGTGGAGCCAAACAGCCTCCCACAGCCCTGGACACCAGAACCCGCACACCCACCCTCTGCTTCTCCAAATCAGCCTTCATTCAATCAAGTTTGCTTGTAAATTTCTCTCATCACAGACACTTCCCCACCTCGGCACCCCAACAGCCAGCTCCAATGGCGACAGTTCATTATTCCGTTTATCGGGCACAATATATCACAAAATCTGGTGATAGATCACGTGAAATCTGTGAAATCGCTGTCACCCGTGCATTCAAAGCTTCTGACAGAAAGAGCTGCAGGTGTGTAGGTCATTGAGGTCATCCAAACACTCTTTTTTAAAAGAAGACTCCAGCATCTGCCATCCAGGTGGGACTGTAATTCTGTGATAGGAAATTTATGTCCACTGAAGCCGTGTTGAAGTCAGGGTAGAAAGTTTAACACTCTAATCAGTAAAATGTGGAAGATGTTGATGGTGGAGGATTATTGTGAGACCTCAGTAGTTCTAAGAAAGCCCCATCCATTACTAGGTATGTCTGTAGAACAATGAATGAAATGTGAGCTTGAAAGTCAATGCTTTAAAACAAATAGAGATATGGGGACAATACCTTTCTTATGCAAAGGACAAGGGAGATTCACCTTGGGGGTTTTCCGTATAACATTGTGGTTTCTACCACCAGAAAGGTCTATGTAAGCAATTCCTGCCATGGATCGTAATTAGAATCTAAGTGTGAACGTCCTTTGCACATACTCCTTCATACCTCAGCCATAGGCATGCAGCTCCTTCCGAAACTGTCCCCAACTGCTAGGAGTCTCTGACAGTGCCTCAAGACTCCTTCCTTGCACTCATGAACCTAGAACAACGCAGGAGAATTACCATCCATTGATGGCACAGTTGGTGAGATTAAGCTCTGAAATGTCTTTCCTAAGGAGGAAGGAAGATGACCGCTGGGCGAGAGAATGCCTGTGGGCATGGGGAGAGTCAAAGGACTGAGGCCATTCTCTTTCCCCCTGGCTGGATTAATATTCTTACATTGACTACATCCAAATCAAGGACTTCTAGTTAAATGTGAACATGAAACAAATTAGTAAGTTCTTATTAGAGCACTCCACACACAGTTTCCTTTACCAAGGAAACTTCCCCACCTTGTATTCCAGCACCTGGCTCTAGCCATTACCCCACAAAATTCAGACTTCATTGGTACCTCTATTCAGCACCCTCTGCCTCCTCTCTCTGCCCATGGGCATTCCAGACCCTCTCCTCCTTCTTAGGGACCATTCATGACATGTTCTGTCGGGGTTACACTTCCCGTAGGAATCCACCAGCCTGTCTTTTATCTCTCTTCAAATAGTTGCTCAACTTTCAATGTTTTCTTCTGGTTCAGTGGTTCTCAACCCTCTTAATGCTGTGACCCTTTAATATAGTTCCTCATGTTGTGGTGACCCCCAAGCATAAAATTATTTTCATACTTCATATTTTCATTACTTTATAACTGTAATTTTGTTACTGTTATAAATCGTAATGTAAATATCTGTGCTTTCTGATACCTTAGGAGATACCTTTGAAAGGATTGTCCGACCCCAAGGGCATCTCGACCCACAGGTTGGGAACAAGTGTTCTAGCTGCTACTATCATGTCCCTAAATATTTCACACTAACCATCCCCAACCTTCTCCCCCTTTCTGTCTGTCTCCTTTCTCATTGCACATATTTCCTAAATCTAACCATTATTATTTAGTTTTATTATATGTCTCTGTCTGCTAGAATACATGCTTCAGGGTGGCAGGAATCTCTACAAGGACCTAATATAAGTAGGTGCTTAAGAAACAATGACTGAATGAATGGCAAATGGCAGGTAATTTATTATATTCTGATGCTCATTTACATGATTTAAATTATATTGAAATCCTCTTTGGCTGAACTACTTGTGAGTCAGCTTTCTATTGCTGTGCTAAAATATATGAAATAGTCTGCTTTAACATGTTTCTTTGGGTTCACAATTTTGAGCGTCTCAGTCGGTAATGAGGCAGTCTGTAGTGGTGAGGAACAAGAAGCAGGGTGAGCTGCTGACTCTGTGGGATCCAGGAAGTCAAAGGGAAGAGCAGGAGACCAGGGCCCCACAATCCCCTTTGATGGCACACCTCCAGGGTCTGAGGGTGGACTCTGAGGTTTCAGAGTCATGTACTGTTCACAGTTAATCTCTCTCTCTCTCTCTCTCTCTCTCTCTCTCTCTCTCTCTCTCTCTCTCTCTCTCTCTCTCTCTGCATCCTGTTTGTTATTTGAGGCATGAGCCCTCACCTCTCACCTTTTAGCTCCAGTGCCATGCCTGCCTGCTGTAATGTTTCCCAATCATGATAGTGATGGACCTCTCCCTCTGGAATGGTAAGCCCCAAATCAACCCTTCCTCTTAGAAGTTGCTTTGGCCATGATGTTTAATCATAACAATAAAAATGTAACTAGTCCAGCCCCCAATCCATGGGACAGTGTGATCCACTCCAGGGTGGGTACTTCCTTTTTGGCTAAATCCCTTGAAAATTCCTTCATAGATACCTTTAGAGATATATCTCCTAGATTACTTTTTTGTCATGGCAGAGAAGGCATGATGGTGAGACCAGATATTGTTATGGCAATAGGATACTGCTTGCTCACATCTCTGTGTATCAGGAACGAAAGAAAGAGAAAAGTTCAGATCCATCTGACTCTATTTTTTTCCCTTATTCTGTCTGGGCTGAATTCACCTTAGACTAACCTCGATAAGATGGTGCCATCCACTTAGAGGATGGGTCTTTGCTTGTCAGTTAATCTTATCAGGAAGTGCCCTCAAAGGCACATCTAGAGATGTGTCTCCTAGGTGATTCTAAATCTGGTCAAGTTAGCAATGAAGGTTAACCACTACCAATGGGATGATAGGAGAGTACTTGCTGACCTGTGCTTAATAAGTAGTGATGATGTTTTTAACATTGGCAGTATAGGAGAGATGTCACACTGACAAGTCATGTATTTTACAAATGAATGGCAATATTGGAGTTAGGAGGAGAAAACTCTTGCATGGACTGTGTGGCAGTCTGTAGTAGAAAAAAAGAGACATCAACAAGATATATTGTGGTATGTACAATAATAAAAATAGAGTGCAAAGACGACAAATGAATGACTTGGAAATACACAAAGAAATGGCTGTCCAGGTGAAGCTGAAGTCAGGAAAACAATAAAGAGCCATATATTTCTTGGGTCATAATTGTTTAGTAGGTGGGAAAAACAATCAAGACACAGACAGAAGGAGCAGTGTGTGTGTGATTGTGTGTGTGTGTGTGTATGTGTGTATGTGTGTGTGTGTGTGTGTGTGTGTGTGTGTGTGTGTGTGTGTGTGTGTGTGTGTGTGAGCATGCTTGCAAGGGGTTGGGGGAAGGACATAGACATGGCACTCGATTCTGTATGTATGGTTGCCCACATCCTTATGTGTGGAGACCATGAGGTGACTTTGATGTGTCTTCCTCAATTACTTTTCCACCTTATTTTTCATGATAGGATCTCTCACTCAACCTGAAGTTGGTATTTGGCTCGGATGGTCAAGGAAGCCTAGGCATCATTCTGTCTCTACCTTCACCTTAGCACTAGAATTACAGGCATTCACCACCAGGCTTCTATCTATCTGCATACTAGGAATCCAAACTCAGGTCCTCTGGCTTGTGTGGCAGGCATTTTACCTGCTCAGCCATCTTCCCAACCCAGAAGGGAAAGCTTCTAAGGTATATTTTATATTGAAAAAAAAAATCCTTCTCTTTGGGGTTTGAGCAATTGAGAGAGCCATTATCAATCTTATGTTTCCATTAGGTCCAACTGGAGCATTGGCTGGTGGCAGAACCTGAGCCCTTAGGTCTTAACAGATATGTAATGAGAATCTAGCCAGGTTTCCTGAGTAGATTGCTCACTGTTTGTTCTCTTGTGATGTGTTTCAGGTTTTCCACAAGCCTTTCAAAGAGACTTTGCTTGGCCTCCTCTACTTCCTTTTCTGATGAAGATGGATGAGCAGTCTATCCTGGGACACTTGCCTAGCTGGATGGTTCTTAGTTCACTCCCTACTAAAAAGAGCTATGGGTAGATGGCATGACCACTTGGCACAACTAGAAACCATCCTATCATTATAACTAAAATATTTAATTCCACACCCTTGGAGACTCCCCATTTTTTTGGTTGACCATCTCACTTTTGGGTTTAGACTCTGGCAACTTAAATAAAACTCTATGTTAATCCTCCCCCTCTTCAATTTGAGACTATGAGAAGACACCACAAAAAGAAGCTCCGTTCAGGACAAGATCTGTCCTGACAGAGACCAGCTTCTGTCCAACAATTTCAAGGGCAAGACAGAGAGAGAGGGAAAAGAATATTTGGTTTGGTTTGGTCTGGTTGTTTGTTTGGTTTGGTTTGGTTTGGAATTTTTCCAGAATAAAGGCATGCTAAAAGTCTGCAGCCTTGTTTTTCTTTCAAAGTTTGAACTTTTTTTTTTTCTTGAAACTAAATAAAAGAAAAACAAACCATCATTCCCCCAAGATGGTTAGAAAACAATCATTTACAATGTCAGTGTGGAAAAGATGGAGATTTAAAAAAAAAAGAGTCTGGAGTGCAAGATGATATATACAGATATGAAAGCTGGATGGTAGCATCACCTACCTTCTCAGATAACCTGGAAATCAAGATTCTGGTCCTCCTGAATCTTGAACAAGAGTGCAAGAGACACAGACAGGTAAAATAAAGCAACCTTTTAAACTAAAAAGAAATATTTTATTTATTAAATTTTTTATTTATGTATGAAATGTATGCACGTTTGCTTGTATGTATGTATGAGAATTGTGTGTGTGTGTGTGTGTGTGTGTGTGTGTGTGTGTGTGTGTGTGTGTGTGTGATGTCTATGGAGGTCAGAAAAGAACACTGGATCCTTTGGAACTGGAGTTATGGATGATTATGAGCCACCATGTGGATGCTGGGAACCAAACCTGGGTCCTCTACAAGAGGTAGCAAGTGCTCTTAACAACTGAACCATCTCTCTAGTCCCCTACCAACTTCTTTCTAAGTGACTAGGGCCTTGTTCATGTGGCCTTAGCTAACTTGAGATACTAAGCATGCTCTAGAAGGGATCATTTTAGAATCTACTTCTTCAGAAAACTATGTTCTGTAGAAGAATTTAGAGCTAGAGTACAAATGCTTTTTTTTTTTTTTTTTTAACAATCTCTCATGAAAATTGAGAGTGTTATTTTGGTGAGACAGGAAATCACCCTGAATGAAATATCAAGAAAAGTCTAAGCAAAACTGAAATATTAAAGTAGCATCTGCAAGCCCCCAAATTCTAGGCAGGTCAGGGGAAAATGAAGATTAGAAAATAGAATTCTCAGCTATAGAAGAAAAATTGCTATACATTTAAGATGTATCTGACAGACTTTTCTGAGAAGCAGGGCATGAAAAAAAATGACTGCCAAACTTTGCCAAGACAAGGTAGGACAGCCCTTCAGAAGATCCTGCTTCTCAGAAAAGTCTGTCAGATATGCTAGACTTGTAGGCTGAAGATGGATGCCCCAACATTGCAGAGGAACCTTGGGTGACTGTCCAGGCAGCTAGCCATTTCTGTCATTTCTCACATTTTTTTGGAAGTTGCTTGCACTTCCTGCTTACTCAGGTAATATTATTTCCTTCTCAGGTCTCTGGGGGAGTTGAAGACTTTAGAGTTACAGTTATAGTTTTCCTTGTTACCAGATTCAGAAAAGAAATTCACTAAAGAAGTGTAAAGTGTATGGGGTTGAGAGACATTAAAAGACAGTTTTGGCCGGGCGGTGGTGGCGCACGCCTTTAATCCCAGCACTCGGGAGGCAGAGCCAGGCTGATCTCTGTGAGTTCGAGGCCAGCCTGGGCTACCAAGTGAGTTCCAGGAGAGGCGCAAAGCTACACAGAGAAACCCTGAACCCTGTCTCGAAAAACAAAAAAAAAAAAAAAAAAAAAAAAAGACAGTTTTGGCAATGCAAATTAGAATAGAAAGTGTTTTAAGTACAAAACTTTGGACTCATCAAGATAGCATAGATAATGGAGTATTTTCTCTGAATTTGTCAATTGTTAATGGACTAGACATTGTTGATATAATTATTGCCTGTATATATTGTATATAGTTATTATACTTATTGTATATAGTTTCTCTTATATTAGTTATAACCTTTTTTATTTTAGACAAAAAGGGGGAAATATGGAGATATTTTGTTTGTGCTCTGACAAATAAAGCTTGCCTGAAGATCAGAGGGTAGAGCTAGCCATTAGTTAACCATAGACATCTGGAGGTCTGTACAGACAGACAGGAAGTGATATGGCTGGGCAGAGAGAGGAATATAAGGCAGGTGGAGACAGGAGCTTGGCCCTTTTTGATAGGAGGATTTGTAGAGGTGAGATATGACTGTGGCTGCTTCTTTACTTCTCTGATCTTTCAGCATTTACCCTGATATCTGACTCTGGGTTTTTATTATTAAGACCACTTAGAATTCATGCTCCATCAGTGTGACAAAATACCCACCAAAAGCAGCTGAGGGAGGGAAGGGTTTGGTTTGGTTCACGCACAGTGGAGAAACTGTCCATCAGGTCAGGGGGTGCGTCACACCACCTTTGTGGTCAGGTAAAGAGAGACACAAATGCTGGTGCTCAACTGATTCCTCTTCTTTTCTCTTCATTCTGTCCCACTAGGTGGTACTGCCTGCATTTAAAGCATCTTCTCTCTCAGTTAAAGTGAAAATGTTCTCACAGATGCCCAGAGATAGAACTCGTTAATGATTCCAAAGCCAGCAACGTTGAAAAATGAAGATTAACAACCACAGCTTGAATCTTTCTTTTTCTTTCTTTCTTTTTCTTTTCTTTTTTTTTTTTTTGGTCCTTTTCTTTGCATTTGAGATGGGGGTCTTCCTATGTAGGTGTGGATGTCCTGGAACTCAGAGACCAGCCTGTTTTGCCTTCTGAGTGCAGGGATTAAATAAAGACTTGGGCCACCACACCCTACCCCACCTTGCATTTTGAAAGTTAAGTTTATTTGAAGTAATTTAACATTTAAGATAAAAAATATTAAGTTTGTTTTCTAAGGTATTGTTTCCCATACTTTTTCAGATATGCTAAGGGATGATAGTGTTTATGTTCTAGGGCAAGAGAAGAGAAGAGGCGGGTGAGTGAGCAAACAGCTGAGGGAAATCCTCACTTCTGGTTCAGGGATGAGGGGATCAAAATCTCAGGTAGTCTTGCCCCAAGAGGAGATAGAATGTTGGTCTTTACTTAATAGGAATAGAATTGGCAGTGTGTTAATGAAAAGGGAAGATCCTCTCCCCAGTCTTAGCTTTCTTAGCCTGCCCCTGCCCATCCTAACCTCTGTAAGAGGTCTCTATGTACTGACATAGCAGGAATTGAAAGTGAAGGTAAGAGGAATATCACTCTCGCACAGCAAGAATAAACCCACTGACTGAATAAATAAATAAAACAGGAGAGGTGTTACTTATTGGGATTATGTTTCAAAGGGAAAAAGTGCCATTATATCTAAATTAATTTTTTTAAAAAAGAATAAAACGGAAGCGCTGTAGTTAGATGCTTTGTCTGTGTTCCTTGGCTGACCACATTTTAAAAGTAAAAGTGAAAGTCTCAATAAAATTTAATAAGCATTGCTCTGGAGCAAAATCTCTATGGTGAGCAGAATGGAGAACTGTCTCCCACTGTGCTAATACAAGTTTCTAGTGTAACCTTTGGCATTTCCCCAGCCATTATGGCAGACTGTGCTGTATGAGCTTGATGTCTTACCTCATGAATTTGCCTTATTGTTTCTTTCATTCTAAAAGCAGAACTTCTCCAAAATCTTTACATCTTGCCTACCAAGATTGTGGAATTAGACATCCATTACACCAATAATTACAGTGTTTAGTTAAAAATAAAACAGTATCAATTTTCATTAGCACTTCCCACCAAAATGCATAGAGCATGCGGATTCATTCATATGCTGCTGAAGGTTGCCATGTGATACAACTGAAGTGCCAGCCTAGATTGGGTCCTACCCTGTCCCTTGAGTTACTATCTGCTCAGCCTCAGCTGTTGGGTCTGGAAAATGGACATGTATTCTGGAAACCACATTTATGGGCACTTGCTCAGTATTACTTCTTTCTCAGTTGATAGCTTCAGGTCTCGGGGCTCTGAGAAGAACAGGGAATTAGCACATACCCTTGAGTTCATCCAGTTGACGTCTGAGTGCTCAAGTTAAGGACAGTGGGAGCCCTTCTCTCAGTGGTTTAACACGGGCTCCCATCAACTCATTATTGGAGATAGTTAGCTGAGTATCATTCTCAGTTTTCCTAATTTGTCTAGTTAACATTTTACAGTTGGGGTCATAACTAAGGTCACAATATATTATACAATTTGGAAAAAAATCTATGAAATGCATTCTTCCCAAACTACTATAATTCCCTCCGTCAAAGACCTGGCCTGCAACAATTCAAGGCCCCATAGAAAACTCACAGGCCAGCCATTTGGAGAGGAGCCGACACACTCTAATGCTCTATGCAAATCTGTGGTGAAAATAGCTTGATTAAAAACAAATGAACAAAAGCATTTCTGTAGACATGGTTGATGGACCAAAAAATGTTCTAGAGTTGCACAGTTCAGAAACACTTTCGGAATTTGAAGGAGCAGAGCTGGAATTAAGCTGAGAACATTTTTTATCAGTATGTCTACTTAATTCAAACATGATTCTCGTTTCCAAAGCTATTGAGAAAGTAGAAGTTTTGAAGGGTTGTGGTTGTTCCATTTTTAATTTCTAACACAGGCTATCCCCAAGTATGTAACTGCTTACTCCTTATTTGCATCAGGATTTGCTTGGTTGTGCTGTGATAACCTCATTACAGGCAATCTCATTATAGAGCATAACAAAGTTTATCATTCCTGTGATATGTCCCTCATGGGTCCCCCAGAATTCTGCTCCATAGGGTCATCCAGGAATCCAGGAGGGAGGCTGCATCATTTCATAGATCTAGTATATGGACTATGAATACTCCTTGGCCATAGTAATAGAGAAAAGAAAAAAATAAATAAAAGAGCTAGCTACTTGGGCTGGAGAGATGGCTCCGATGTCAAGAGCATATACTTCTTTTTCAGAGGACCTGGGTTCAGTTCCCAGCCATATTGTGGTTCACAACCACCTGTAACTCTGGTTCTTGGAGGATCAGACACTCTCTCCTAGCCTCTGTGGATAGGAGATACTACACTTGTGCAGTGCATGTATGTACATGCAGCCAGCCACACATATACATCAGGTTCAATAAATAAATTTAAAAAACACTCTTTGAAAAAATAACTGACCACTGACTGACAATCCTG